GGGTGGGAGAAAGAACTCTTGTCTGTTGGACGCAAGTGTGAATGTTGCAATTGGCCACCTTGATGAGTACTGAATTGCCTTGCAGCTTCAAAGCCTGGCTGGTTGCTGCCTGACGAAATCGATTGTTGGAAGATGTTAGCTAGTCTTGACTTTTTCCTGTCTGGAATTCCCCTGATTTTTTTTAGTGTTGCTCTTTGTTTACTGTTCTGATTTTAGTTTTTTTTCAAATACTGAGAGCCAGATTTTGTTTATTTTTATGGTTTCCTCCTTTATGTTGAAAATGCGAAGTCATGTTTTTGGTGATGTGCCGCCAAAATTTTGTACTTTGAGTCAGACTGAGACTTCTAGCGAACTATCAAATGTATCCTTATTGCATTTATTTTTTTAAAAAAATAATATTTAATTTACATTTTAAAATGATATTTTAGACTCAGGAGAGAATGCTTCTGGAACATGGCCAGACAGCCCGGAAAACTCACAGCAACCCAATAATAATAATAATAATAATAATAATAATAATGGGTTGCTGTGAATTTTCAGACCTGGAAACCTCACAAACTCTGAGGATGCCTGCCATAGATGTGGGTGAAACGTCAGGAGAGAGTGCTTCTGGAACATGGCCAGACAGCCCGGAAAACTCACAGCAACCCAATAATAATAATAATATAAATAATAATAATAATAATGCGTTGCTGTGAATTTTCAGACCTGGAAACCTCACAAACTCTGAAGATGCCTGCCATAGATGTGGGTGAAACGTCAGGAGAGAGTGCTTCTGGAACATGGCCAGACAGCCCAGAAAACTCACAGCAACCCAAATAATATTTAATATTTAATGTTAAAATAATGTTTAATTTTAACATTTTGTAATATTTAAATTTTTGAACCAATTTACATAATATGTTAATATTTAAATCAGTAATTGATACATAATATTTAATTTTACATAATGTTTAACATTGAAATTATATTTTAGTATTTGCCATATTAAATATCTTTTTTAAAATAAAAATATTTTAATATTTAATTTTAAATAATAATTAATTTAATTTTTTAAATGATATTTTAGACTTGCTTAGTTTCCAACAGACCTCACAACCTCTGAGGATGCCTGCCACAGATGCAGGCGAAACATCAGGGAAGAATGCTTCTGGGAGATGGCCACACAACCCAGAAATCTCACAACAACCCAATCTTTCTTTGCTTAACTAGCAGCGACATCTTGTGGACAGAAGGAATGCTACCGGATATGGCTCATGATTTTTTTGCCTTGGTCCCAAAATACAAAACGAAAATACACATGGAAACACAAGGAAACGGGTTTCGGCTATTGACTTCCATGGCCAGACAGCCTGGAAAACTCACAGCAACCCAATTATTCCGGTCATGAAAGCATTCAACAACTTATTATTATTGCTGACACAAAAACACAGTATGTCACAGCAAACGAAATATATATGCTGGATCTATTTATTTATTATTTAATATTTATTAAATAATAAGATTTATTTATGTGTTTATTATTTTGAGTATAATATTATAAATATTGTTTATTTATTTATTAAATATATATGCTGGAATTTATTATTATTATTAAATAATATTATATATTTATTATTAAGTATATAAAATTACAAATATTATTTATTGATTTATTTAATATATATGCCTGATTTCTATTTATTTAATATATATGCTGGATTTTATTATTATTATTATTATTATTAAATAATATTATGTATTTATTATTAAGTATATAATATTATAAATATCATTTATTGTTTTATTAAATATATATGCCTGATTTTTATTTATTTAATAATATTATTTATTTATGTGTTTATTACTGAGTATATTATAAATATAATTTATTGATTTATTTAATATATATGCCTGATTTTTATTTATTTAATAATATGATTTATTTATGTGTTTATTATTTTGAGTATAATATTATAAATATTATTTATTTATTTATTAAATATATATGCTGGAATTTATTATTATTATTAAATAATATTATGTATTTATTATTAAGTTATATAATTTATAATATACTCAGTAATAAACACATAAATAAATAATATTATTAAATAAATAAAAATCAGGCATATATATTTAATAAAACAATAAATGATATTTATAATATTATATGCTTAATAATAAATACATAATATTATTTAATAATTTATATAATTATTTATTTATTTATTTATTATTTATTTAATATAATTTATTTATTTATTTATTATATATGCCTGATTTTTATTTATTTAATAATATCATTTATTTATGTGTTTATTATTATGAGTATAATATTATAAATATTATTTATTTATTAACTAAGATTATTTATGTATATATTTATTATTATGAATATATGTAACAAACATAGGAACATAGAACAATTGGATGATGAGACTGGATCTTGATTTTAGCTATGAGACACTAATGAGATGTTTTATTGATTTACTGTTTTAAATGTTTTTAACTGTTTTATTTTTTTATATATATATATATATATGCTGGATTTTTAATTATTTATTTATTAAATAAGATTATTTATTTATTTATTATAAGTATAATATTATAAATATTTATTATATTTATAATATTATAAATATAATATTACAAATATTCATTTATTAAACATAATAACATCAACAACAACATTTCCAGTGTGCTTTTTTCCATTGCTGGGTGATTAAGGGGGGTTCCCTTCCACAGATCTGAAGGCAGGCCTATATAGGGAGAGGTGTTCCTAACTGCCCCATATGCCCATGCTTTCAAGCTTACCTTTCATCATCCATGTACATGTCGTAGAAGAAGCCGTGTTCAGTGCTGGGCCCATGACATAGGAGGGCCCCATAAAATCGCTCAGCGGCGTCCCCAAGAATGTGGGCGCTGGAATGCCAGAAGAGCTGGGGACGAGAGTCGGGAAAAAGGGGACAATCGTAAGGTCGAACGGCACAACCTTAAAGTTAGTATTAAAACACGACCGTATTGTAAACAACACCAATCCAGCCCAAGTCTATAGGTGACTCACTGCTTGTCCATCCCGGGCATCGAAGTCCACAAATTCCAAGCTGGCATCTTCTTCAAGGGGGCGGTCCAGGTCGTAGAGCGCCCCGTTCACCCTGGCTGCCACTGCCTCCTTGGCCCGGCTCTGGCTGCAAGAACGGGATAGTTATGAGTTTCGGACCCTTTTGCCACGGTTGCAGGGATCTCTTGCATCCACAGTAAAGGTAATGGAAAAGCCACCTGATGCTCAAGGCCACCTGAGAGGGCGTGGTCCTCCAGGCTTCTCCCTCGAATGTTTTGCCACCCGGGAGGGAAATTCGGATCGGCCGTTGCTCTTTCAGGGCCCGCTCCGCACGGCGCTCCTCCGCGGCGGCTTGAAGCTGTTCGTAAAGCGCCAGGCGCTCGGCGACGTGGGCAGGAAGAGCCCGTGCCTGGGAGACAAAGGAGAAGGGCACAAATATTTTATTTTTTAGGAAAAGAGAAAGCCTTGGAGCAAAACCTTGAAATTGAAATCTCCTGTACACTTCTAGAAAGTCTGCATTTGTATTCACGATATACATTCTGTTGAACCAGATAATAATTGGCACGCTGGGTGCAGCGCCTCAAGACCTTGGCCTGGACTAAAAAAACAACTGGAAATGCTGGCACGATATGAGGATTTAAAGATCGAACTGCAAAGGTTCTGGGGGGTGCCATTGGATATCGGCACACTGGGTGCAGTGCCTCAAGACCTTGGCCTGCAATTAAAAACAACTCAAAAGCTGACACGATATGAGGATTTAAAGATCGAACTGCAAAGACTCTGGGGGGTCCCAGTGGTGATCGGCACACTGGGTGCAGTGCCTCAAGACCTTGGCCTGCACTTAAAAACAACTCGAAAAAATGACACGATATGATTATTTAAAGATTGAACTGCAAAGATTCTGGGGGGTGCCAGTGGTGATCGGCACACTGGGCGCAGTGCCTAAATACCTTGGTCTGCACTTAAACACAACTGGAAAAGCTGACACGATATGAGGATTTAAAGATCGAACTGCAAACGCTCTGGGGGGTGCCAGTGGTGGTCGGCACAATGGGTGCAGTGCCTAAAGACCTTGGCCTGCACTTAAAAACAACTCGAAAAGCTGAAACAATATGAGGATTTAAAGATCGAACTGCAAAGATTCTGGGGGGTGCCAGTGGTGATCAGCATACTGGGTGCAGTGCCTCAAGACCTTGGCTTGCACTTAAAAACAACTGGAAAAGCTGACATGATAGGATTTAAAGACTGAACTGCAAAGACTCTGGGGGTGTGCCAGTGGTGATCAGCACACTGGGTGCAATGCCTCAAGACCTTAGCCTGCACTTAAAAACAACTTAAAAAGCTAACATTATACGTGGATTTAAAGATCGAACTGCAAAGGCTCTGGCACAAGCCAGCCAAGGTGGTCGCAGTGGCAATCGGCATACTGGGTGCTGTGCCTAAAGACCTTGGCCTGCACTTAAAAACAACTCAAAAAGCTGGCACAATACGAGGATTTAAAGATCGAACTGCAAAGACTCTGGCACAAGCCAGTCAAGACGGTCCCAGTGGTGATTGGCACACTGGTTTTATTTATTTATTTGCAGCTTTTATATTCTGCCCTTCTCACCCCGCAGAGGACTCAGGGTGGATTACAGTGTACACATATATGGCAAACATTCAATGCCAATTTTTGACATACAAACATATACAGACATACACAGAGGCTATTTAACTTTTTCTGGCCGCCAGGGGAGCTGTCGCTTTCATCGTCCATCTGCGACACTGATGAAGTACTTCCGCATTCCTGCTTTGCTGGAGTCTTCTTTATGGCCTCATAAATCAGTTAATTTAGCCTCCCCACACTTTTTAAGGTGGTACCTAATTTTCCTACTTGACAGATGCAACTGTCTTTCGGGTTGCAAAGGTCGACAACAGGCTACACACAATTGGTTGGAAACCCACTCCAACCCGGGCTGGCTTTGAACTCATGACCTTTTGGTCAGAGTGATCTTAATGCAGCTGACACTCAGCCAGCTGCGCCACAATCCCGGTGGTTGCAGTGCCTAAAGACCTTGGCCTGCACTTAAACACAACTGGAAAAGCTGGTTTGTTGTAGGTTTTTTCGGGCTATATGGCCATATTCTAGAGGCATTCTCTCCTGAACATTTCACTTGCATCTATGGCAAGCATTCTCAGAGGTTGTGAGGATGCTTGCCATAGATGCAGACGAAACGTCAGGAGAGAATGCCTCTAGAACATGGCCATATAGCCCGAAAAAAACCTACAACAAACCAGTGCTTCCAGACTCTGGCACAAGCCAGTCAAGGGGGTTCCTGTGGTGATTGGCACACTGGGTGCAGTGCCTAAAGACCTTGGCCTGCACTTAAACACAATCGGCGCTGACAAAATTACCATCTGCCAGTTGCAAAAGGCCACCTTACTGGGATCTGCACGCATTATTCACCGACACATCTCACAGTCCTAGACACTTGGGAAGTATCCGACGTATGATCCAATACAACAGCCAGCAGAGTGTCTGCTGTGGACTCATTTTGTTCGGTTTAAAATAATAATAATAATAATAATAATAATAATAATAATAATAATAATAATAAAGACCTTGGCCTGCACTTAAACACAGTCTGCACTGACAGGATTACCATCTGTCAGCTGCAAAAGGCCACCCTACTCGGATCTGCACTCATTATTTGGTAGGCTGTTAGGAATTGTGGGAGATGAAGTCCAAAACACCTGGAGGGCTGAAGTTTGCCCATGCCTGCGCTAGAGAATGTCAATATAGATTGGTAGAACACAATGATGGAGCCCACTGCGCATGGGCTTGAAAGTGCAATGTGCATGGGCAGAACTGAAGAAATACTTTGCATTAAGACATCTATTTGGATTACCTCTTCCAGGGGATGATGGGAGTGACAGTCCCATGCTCTGGAAGCTTTACCCTGCAACATATCAAACTGAATTCAGAAATAAAATACAGGAGCACTCCAGGGAGACATAATGTCAAAGGGCCCTACCAGACACACCCTATATCCCATGTTCAAGTCCAATATCCCCGTATCTGCCTTAAACTGGATTATATCAGTCCACACTGCCAGATAATCTGATCCTGGGATATAGGGCCTGTCTGGGAGGGCCCATAGAGAGAGACAGAAAAAAGGTGGGATGTTACCTTTGGAGGAGACTACAACACCCAAAATCCCCCCCCCCCAAAAAAAAGGTATCAGTGGCCTTTCGTGAGGTGTTTCCCAGCCAAAGCTGCCTTTGAAAGGACTACAGCTCCCTTGGCCTGGGAGGTGCTGTGAAGTCCCCTAATGCAATGTTTTCAGATGACTAGAGGGGATTCTGGGAGTTGCAGTCCTTCAAAATAGCAACTCTAAATAGCTGGAAAGGATTCTGGAAGTTGTAGTTCCCCAAAATTGCAACTCTAAATGGCTGGAGGGGATTCTGGGATATGTAGTCCTCCAAAATAGCAACTTTAAATGGTTGGAAAGGATTTTGGGAGTTGTAGTTCCCCAAAATAGCACTCTAAATGTCTAGAGGGGATTCTGGGAGTTGTAATTCCCTAAATGGCTGGAGGGGGTTCTGGGAGTTTTAATTCCCCCAAATTAGAAACCCTAAACAGCTGGAGTGGGTTCTGGGAGTTGTAGTCTTCCAAAATAGCAACTTTAAATGGCTGGAGGGGTTTCTGGGAGTTTTAATTCCCCAAAATAGCAACCCTAAATGCCTGTAGGGGGTTCTGGGAGTTGTAGTCCTCTAAAATAGCAACTTTAAATGGCTAGAGGGGATTCTGGAAGTTGTAGTTCCCCAAAATTGCGACTCTAAATGGCTAGAAGGGGATTCTGGGAGTTGTAGTTCCCCAAAAGGGAGACAGAGGGGAGGAAATGGACTACAGACCCCGAAAGACCTGCAGAGGCGGCTCTTCCCAACCCAGGCCTTCCTCCAAGGCCGCAGGAACAGCATCTTCCCGCACCAGACACGTGTTTCAGTGAGTTCCCACGTGACGAGACGGCTTGCCTCCCTGCGCAGCCCCGCCCGCAAGAAACAGAGGGAGTGGGCGTGGCCAGCGGCCCTTCCGAGCAGGAAGAGGCTCCTGATTGGTCGCACCGCCGAACCAATAGGAACGCGAGGCCCCAAACGGTCCTCCACGCTTCCCCGTCCCTCCTGGAAACAAGGAACCAGGAGAAAAGGTTCCGGGAAGAGAAACAACTCGAAAGAGATGCTAAAGTTACAAGTCCTGACCTTTCCAAGAGACATATTTACATAGCAAGAGCGGTTCTCAATCCCAGTCAAGGCAAATGGCAGAAAAATCTACATTTCTCCCTCCTTCAGTCTTTCAAACAAGCTTAAAATGCCCTTATCTCAAACCAATGCCATTTCACAACAGCTTGCTCCAGGATCTAGCTAAATTTCTTGCAACAGATCCAAGTTTCTAGTCCCGAATGTTCAATTCCAGTAGACTCCCAACTCATATACTGGTTGTTATGCCATTAAATACAAAATTAAATATATTTCAGGGGCCCCAAATTGCAATTTTGAATCTCCACCCTCAGATATCCATTCAATGAATGGCAAAGTGGTAAGCAGCCTATAGTTCCAGTCCATATAAAATGGGACTAGAATCAAATCTAGTCTTTTTCCTCATTAGGGACAATGGAATGGGCCTCATTCTGTTGAAGGGAAGGGTTAGAAGGCTGCTCCATTCTGTTTAGTGGTTCTCAACCTGAGGTCCCCAGATATTTTTGGATTTCAACTCCCAAAAACCCTAACATCTGGTAAACTGGCTGGGATTTCTGGGAGTTGTAGGCCAAAAACATCTGGGGACCCCAGGTTGAGGGCATGCCATCAGATGAAACATTCAGCTGCTGGGAGTTGTAGTCCAACGCAAACACTCCACGATTACTGCTTAACGTTCCTCAAAGTTTTCCCCACCAAGCACTACATCTGTCTTTTGGAGGTTGGAATCACAAGGCTCATTCCACAGCCAAAAGAGACGATGCGCTCTTCCCAAAGTAACTACTCTCACAATGAAGATTTAAGGCAGATTTCCACTTGCTCCACATTTGCTTCTGCAGCCTAACCAGCCACAAAACAAAATGTCATTGTCGCTGGTCTATCCCAGTTCTCCCCTTTCCATACTGCTCCTGCAGCTCCTTCACTCACCCATTGGCTTTGTAACCCCTCCATTCACCCATTGGCTTTGCAACCCCTTCACTCACGCTTTACAACCCCTTTACTCACCCATGGGCTTTACAACCCCTTCACTCATGCATTGGTTTTACAACCCCTTCACTCACACATTGGCTTTACAACCCTTTCCTGCGGCTCCTTCAGTCACCCATGGGCTTTACAACCCCTTCACTCACCCATTGGCTTTACAACCCCTTCCGGCGGCTCCTTCACTCACCCGTGAGCTTTACAACCCCTTCACTCACCTATTGGCTTAAGAACCCCTTCACTCACCCATTGGCTTTACAACCCTTTCCTGTGGCTCCTTGTCACCCATGGGCTTTACAACCCCTTCACTCACCCACGGGCTTTACAACCCCTTCACTCACCCACTGGCTTTACAACCCCTTTGCTCACCCATTGGCTTTACAGCCCTCTTTTCCTTTACTATGCCTTTCAACTTTGCCTGAGTCATTCTACTGCTCTGCTCAAAGCAGGTGGACAAGCATTACGAGCGGAGAACAATATTTGTATTTCCCAGCCCTCAATGGCCACACTGGTGCCACCAATAGTCTGGAGAAACGACAAATTTCCTAATCACCAGCAGTCTGTTTTGGATCTAATTTTGCTTTCCAGGTCGCATCCAGAAATGACCGCTATGAATATATGTTGGTAGAGTCCCATACAACGCGGAGAAATTCCCAATGCTAAGAAGTGTTCGGTAACAGTACAGACTTCCTTAGGAGTTGGTCAGCTTTCCATTCGAGGTGAGTTGGCTACCCAAAAGGTGGACTTTTGGGAATTAAAGAGTTGCCTCCTTTCACTTGTATGCTGCAAGAACCGCTGTTAAACTACTTTCTGTTTCGATGTCGGTGATCAAGATGACGTAAACAGTACATGGAAAATCCCAAGTCTCATCTTCCTTTCCAAGTGGATTCCCAGGCCAATCTTATCCAAATAAGGAGCAGAAAAAGAGTGCCTTGAGGTTGTGATCCTGTGTCCACTAGCAAAAAATCAGAAAGTCTTGATAGGGTTTAAGCTTGCAGGAATGCTCCATAGATGGGGAGGAGCAGAGTTCTGCTCATTGCAATGCTGTTTGTCAAAAGAATATCAAATCTAGCTCTGCATCTGGACAATTGGAAAATACATCGATTTCAATAAACAAATGTTGACTGTACTGACCACCGTGGACACTGAATAGCTGCTGCAGTCTAGGTGGAAATGGGTTGAAGCTGTTGCGTAACATTCCCAAAGCAATACACAATCCCCAGTCACAACACACAGACCAGCACTTCCTGCTTGAAGCACTGAATCTAGGCAATCACACAAAGAAACACACCCAAAAAATGACTTCTCATGGCTGTCCTTTTCTATCTGATCTCACCATAAAAGAGATATGTTTTAAGACAGCAGTATTGGAAAGATACTTAAGAGTTCAAAGACTGTAAAGTTGGCACAGGCCTTTTTCAGTTTTGTATTCAACACCCCAAAAACCCTCGGTTCTATGTTCAAGATTTCCATGTGTTTACTATTGTATTTACTCCAGGAAAAGTGTATTTATTTACCCCAGGAAAACAACATATGAAACCTTTCCATCTCAGAAATTTTAAGATATCACTCCGTTTCCCCAGATGTGAATCGCTGACCATGTTTCTAAAAACATGAACATTATGAGGGTTGAATGAAAAGTAATGCCTCCACCTTCGTAACTCAACAGATAGTAATACTGGTATGCGGCAGGTACTGGCTTGTTCAGAAGACTCTCCTCTACAGTTCCATTTTGGTGGGAAGCCTTAGTATTGAACGGTTGTGTTGTTAAAGTGCAAAGTATGGAACCCTGCGCAGACAGTTGGTCAATGTGACTTAAGCAACACGCAGTCACTGAATTCTTGACAGCAGAAGGTGTCACCCCAAAGGAGATTCATCAGAGAATGCAAGCTGTTTATGGTGATTGTGTTGATGTGAGTACTGTGCGTTGTTGGGCGAGAAAGTTTAAAGATGTTGAGGTGGGAACATCTGACTTGCGTGATAAAGAGTTGGATATCCTGAGGTGGGAACATCTGACTTGCATGACAAACAGAGTTGGATGTCCTGAGACAGCAACCACCAAACAAAAGGTTGACAGACTGATTCAGGACGATCGTCGTATCACTCAGAGAAAAAATTCAAGCATGATCGGCATTTCACAAGAACGTGTGGGTCACATTATTGCTTTGCTCGGCTATCGGAAGATCTGTGCACGATGGGTTGCAGAAACAGAGTGTCGACTTCTTCTGCAACGGCTTCAGAAAACTTGTTCATCGTTGGCAGAAATGTATCCAATTGTCTGGTGATTATGTGGAAAAGTGAATAGTGGTATATATTACACAGATATATAAACCCTTTTTCCTAGTTCCAACAGACCTCACTACTTCCGAGGATGCTTGCCATAGATGCAGGCGAAACGTCAGGAGAAATGCCTCTAGAACATGGCCATATAGCCCGAAAAAACCTACAACAACCCAGTGATTCCGGCCACGAAAGCCTTCAACAATACATTGAATAGTGGTAGTTAAAGAACACATTCTAAGGATTATTTCTGCGTTTGATATATTAAAATATTCCCATCCAAACCCAAATAACGAAGGTGGAGGCATTACTTTTCACTCAACCCTCGTACAAATCAAAACAGAAAAAGAAATCAAGAGTGGGAAGGAAGAGGACAAACTTGGCCATGGTATGGAGAAAGACATAAGCAAAATAATTTCAGAATATTCACATGAATTGCTTAATGTGCACAATCCTGTTTTGTATTTTCCCTAGAAGGCAAATGAACCATATTATGACCAATCTGGGCTTGCAGAGCACATAAATTCCCATAGGTTATTATAGGATCGACTAGATAAAGTGTTATTATAGGACCGACTGGAGGACACCTGACTTTGAAACCAATATGAGAAAGGGTTGTCCCCCTTTCTCCTAGAAATGGAGGCCACACCAAGTCAAGAACACTTTATTAGTATACAATACAAAAAATGTGAAGGGGAAGAGGGATGGACCCTTGAAGGTTTACGGCGTGGCTTGCATTCTGCCTTGGACACAGAAGTACCACTTCGAAGCTACCTTCCAAAATATATGCCTGAGTCAACACCTCCTCAAAAACATGGGTCTGACTCGAGCATCCGCCGTCCGTCGCGGCCTCCCTTCCGTGGGCATCCGACACCCGCGTCTCCCGCTCTTCCGGCGTACTTCCAATGCGCGGGACACCTACCACACACTCAAAAGAGGGCTTATTTACAAGAAGGTAAATGTTTGTTATCAAAACAGTCAAACTAGTGCTTTTATTAAAGGTGTTAATGTACAATTCCAAGGTGGGGCTGCGGGGCTTTGTTGCCAGCCCCCGAGCCCATTCTCCCCGCACAAGAAAGAAAAAGAAAACAAGCCAACAATATATCCAAATCCTTTTTTTCTTCTTCCTTTAAAACAATCACAGTTTCGTTTTAAAAAGCACATCAAATGTATTTACAAGGGTTTTTCAAAACGGCTACCCACTTCTGCAGCCGTCCCAACACAAGCCAAACTGTTGCGGCATTTTGTGCCGCGGGACTAAGAGACTACGCAGTTAAAACATGCCAAGGATGGAAGAAATACACAAAGAGAATTGTATTCTCATCCTCCTGTGGTATGCTGCTTTTTCCCCCCTTCTAGGAAGGTCGAAATGCAGGACATGCACACCCCGAAGCTGCCCAAGAGAGAAGACGTTAGCCAAAGAACCCAGTGAGTGAGCATTGCTTTTGCGATCTATGAGCAAAGTGGGGTCTGGAGAAGGGTTTTATCCTACCGAACCTTGCCTTGAGGGTTCCCAAAACCTTCCCTCGTTTCAACAGGCCTGTCCTTCATACGAGACATTAACGCTTCCTTAAAAAATACAGGTTTTATTTCAATCAGTTTTAGCAAACGAAACAAGAAAAGAAAAAGGAAGTTGGGGAACGGGGGGACGGGACACACGCACCTAGACAGGAAAACCCTTCCTGCTCGACAACTTGCTTTCGTTTTGCTACTGTTATAATCTTTAGGTTTTTTTTTACACACATTATGTACACGGCGGCCACATTTAACTGCAAACGTGTTTGAAGTGAAAACACAAAAATCAGGGATTTAAGGAAGGGGGCGAGGGAAGAGAGATGTTGAGATGTTGACATCATACACCGCCTTTTTTACTACTTTTCCCTGCAAAGGGGACGCTCCGAAAACATGAGATCGCGGCGAACTGTGTAATCGGGTCTGCAGGGGAATGCGTTTCCATTCCCCGCAAAGGTTTCTTTAAAAAAATAATAATTATCGACAATTTGCCACCGAGAGAGAGCAGCAGAAAGAAGACATTTCACATTTTTTTCCCTGTCCTAGAAAGGAAACAAATAAACAAACAAAGAGAACAATTGTTGCTTGTTCACTCTTGGTTTCAATCTGTTGTGCTCGGCAAAAATACAAACGCTGCCAAGTATTTTCTCAAGTGACAACCTGTGCTATGGGGATCCAAGAAATGTGGGGCAGATGAATATACGGTACAGGGAGGGATTCCGCTTCCTTTTCTGTCCCCACCCAGTGTCCGAAGGTGAAACATATTGTCTTGAGTTGCAGAAATCATGCGGTGAAGATAAGTGATGCACAAGTGAGTCACAACCCGATTGTTGCCTGGAGCAAACAAAGTTTGCTTCCTGGGTCTGGTAGATCCATGGGTTACAAGTTAGACAGGCTACCAAGATGGGCCCAGGCACCTATCAGGGATGCTGGGAATTGTAGTTTGTTGAGGGGGTACTCACACTGGCCCACAGTTCACCAGCCAGGGTGGACGATGTGATAGTGAAGTCAACTTAGGACAGAACATTGTTTAGAAAATCAAGGTACGGTCACACATCCTGCAATGTAACAGTAGACTATCCTACCACTGCCTCTCTCTCTGAGATTAGAAAAGCTGGGGAGGATGGGAGATGTAGTCCAACGATGAGGAGCAGCCTCTTTTAGAAAAGCCAGGCTCAAGCAAAGGCCTTCCCTCCCTTATCCTGCCGTTGCCTCTCTCTCCTGATGGATTGAGAGTAGAAAAGCTGGGGAGAATGGGAGATGTAGTCCAATGATGAGAAGCAGCCTCTTTTAGAGAAGCCAAGCTCTCAAATGTCCTCAAGCAAATGCCTTCCCTCCCTTGTCCTGCCTCTGCCTCTCTCTCCGGATCGACTGAGATTAGAAAAGCTGGGGAGGATGGGAGATGTAATTCAATGATGAAGAGCAGCCTCTTTTAGAAAAGCCAGGCTCTGAAATGCCCTCGAGCAAATGCCTTCCCTCCCTTATCCTGCCACTGCCTCTCTCTCCTGATGGACTGAGATTAGAAAAGCCGGGGAGGATGGGAGATGTAGTCCAACGATGAGGAGCAGCCTCTTTTGGAAAAGCCAAGCTTTCAAATGCCCTCAAGCAAATGCCTTCCCTCCCTTATTCTGCCGCTGCCTCTCTCTCCTGAAGGACTGAGATTAGAAAATCCAGGGAGGATGGGAGATGTAGTCCAACGATGAGGAGCAGCCTCTTTTAGAAAAGCCAAGTTCCCAAATGCCCTCAAGCAAATGCCTTCCCTCCCTTATCCTGCCACTGCCTCTCTCTCCTGATGGACTAAGATTAGAAAAGCTGGGAAGGATGGGAGATCTAGTTCGTCTAGTTATATCCTTAAGTGAAGGCCTCCCCTCTTTCCTCCGATTATGAATGGTTGGTAACTTTGCTGAAATGGAAAGCGGCAAAGAGGGACTCGTATTTTGAGAATGTGGAGCTCATGCCATCTGAATCGAACCAAGAAGGGAAAAAGACTCAAATAGAGTGCCGTGAAGGCAGGAAGGTGCCATAGATGAGAACTAAATCAGGTTTCCTGGGGAGCGTTTCCGACTCTTGCATTTGTTCCCTTCTCAAACATAACAAGAGATGGATGGTTGGATACTGCAAACTCCCAATCTATTCACTCTCGGTGTTTCTAGGAAAGGACAGCCGAATCCAAAGTGGTTGAAGTCACAACCTATTGCATTGACAAGATTCAAACTGAGAGCCGTGAAGGCAGGAAGCTGCCATAGATGAGAACTAAATCAGGTTTCCTGGGGAGCGTTTCTGTTAGGGATTTGTCATCTTTGGAAGAGGAGAAGGGAAGTGCTCAGGAATTGGAGGGAGAAGAAGGATCAGACGATGAGGGTTTGCAAGTGCCCACATTTCTAGGAAGACGAAAAGAGACAGAGCACAGACGCCGTTAATCTAGAATAGCTGCTAAAAACGCTGAGCTAATTGGGAGACTCCCTAGCACCTCCTGCGAGAAGGAAGGAGAAAGAAAGTGCTCAGGAATTGGAGGGAGAAGAATCAGACGATGAGGGTTTGCAAGTGCCCACATTTCTAGGAAGACGAAAAGAGACAGAGCACAGACGGCGTTCATCTAAAATAGCTGCTAAAAACGCTGAACTAATCGGGAGACTCCCTAGCACCTCCTGCGTGGGCTATACATCAGAGGCAGCAGAAGTCAGCTTTTGCTGGTAACAACTACCCTGATACTGATGTTTTCACTCCAATGGAATCTGCTTTAGGTCTGTTGCTAAGGACTTAGTTCATTGCCTGTCATCATGGAAGACTGGTGTTTCTTTTGGGACTTTGCAAGAGACTTTAATTTGTGTCTGGATTAAGACTTCCTTGTTTTGTTTTTTGTATTTTTCAACGGCATTTGCTAATCCTTTGTGTTTCCTTTTACTTTCAACGTTGTCTAAAAGGCTGTTTTTGAAGGGCAACTCAGGACAGGTTTCCGACCAGCAAATACTACCTTGTATTTGTTCTCAAAGGTCGTAAGAGATGGATGGTTGGAGACAGCAAACTCCCAATTTAAGACTGCTCTGCGAGACAAATCTAGCCCGTCTGTAGCCATCAATTATGTATATTTCTGGTGACAAAAAAGCCCTTTGATTCTGGGTGGGCGATACCTAGCTGGCTTTGGAAGGGAGGGATCACGGAGGGAAAGGATCCCGCTTCCCTCATGACTCTACAGGCGTCTCTTTCTCATTTGCGACATCAGAGAAGCCACAACTGATGGGGAAATAGCTCACTAACCATCTGTACTCTGCCCTGGAGTCCCCAATCTGCCACAAACTCAAGTTTGGGAGGATTAGGAGAGATACGGACAGCAAATGCACCATATTCTATGACTGACTCAAGACGTGAGATGGACACAAAAGGTGTCAGAGAAGAAAGGAGCACATACGCCGCTGAAAAAAGAAAATAAAGTCACTGATGACCAGAAAAGAAAATGGGACGGAGGCTTTAAATACAGGAACTAACAGTATGAAAGGAAGACTTAATCCAAATACCTCCAAATCTGCCATCCTTTCCTACCTCCCTCTGCTTTTCCAGGAGAGTCCCAAAGCTGGCATATGTCACTCATCCCTTGTTTGGATGCCTTACTATCACTACCGAAGGTCAGAGGTCAATGTAGGATTCGTTTTTACATTTCCCTCTCTTCCTTACCCCCCTCCCCAAAGACCTCTGTTTTTTGTAACTTCTGCTTATGTTTACGTCAATGGTTAGAAACAAAAAAGGAAAAAAGCTCAAGGAATCAGCAGAACCAAAATGGGAAAACAAACCAAAAAAAAAGTAGAACGAAATGGTAGTATTGAACATACCTTAATCGGCAACAAAAAAGAGTTGTGGGCCTCCCCCCCTCTTTAGGGGACATTTTTTTAAAAAAAAAATGGTGAAAGTACCGCTTCCACTGCTCTCTAGAAAAGTTCCGGCACACCTTCAAATGCGTTCAGTACCTGGGCGGGAAGAAGGGGCGTTTGGGTGAGAAGAAGGGGGGTCCCCTGGCGAAAGGGGGCCGAGGCCTTTTTAAGCTGTTAAAGGGGTCTCTGTTTAGGAACAGCTCCCGGGGGCGGAAGTCGGGCCTCTGGTTCCGCATCCCCAGCCCCCCTCGGTTTGCGGCGTCCCGGTGAGCGGGCAGAGAAGAGGCGATTGAAAGGGCGGCCGCCACCCCGAGCGGATCTCTCGAGAGGGCGCCCAGGCCCACGCCGTCGCGGGGTCGGCCCAGGGGTGGGTCCCGTTGGGCGCCTTGGTCCCGGGGCCCTCCCGGCGGAATGCTAAAGCGCTCTTTGACCGTTCCTTGGAGGCCGACGGGCCCGTGCTCCGAGGCCAGGGAAGGGGCCGGAAACGGGCGGCTCAGGTCACTCCCGGGAGGTGGCGGGGGGCTGGAGAAAGGCAAGCCGCCACGCTCTCCAGGGAGAGGAGGGGGCGGCTGGGTGGGGAAGGGCACCCCGGGCAGTTCTAAGGAAGGCGGGGGAGGAGGGGGCACCCCGCGAGGCAAGGCCAAGGGGGTTGAAGGTGGGTCCTTTGGGAAGGGCCCAGGGTGATCTGCCGTCGGCATACGCGGCGGCGGGACTGAGCGATCCCGAGGGAAAAGGCCGCCCAGATCCTTCGGCGGGAGCGGTTGAGGCCCAGTTGGGGGTGGCCCTATTTGGTCCCGTGGGAAAGGAGCCCCTCCGCGCTCTATAGGGGGAGGTGGGACGTGGCGGTCGAAAGCAGGGCCAAAGCTACCAGTGCGGAAGCTGTTGACGTTCTCCTGGAAGGAGGCCACCCGCTCCTTGTACTGGTTCTGAAAAGACGACACAATGCCACTGCTGCCAGCGCCAGGACCCACGGTGGGCATTTCTGTGGCGCTCGAAGGGCCGTTGTCGAAGTTGCTCCCCGGACTGGTCAACTCAAACCACCCGGCTCGGTTGGTCTCTCGCCCGTGGCCCCGGTTCCCCTTCCCAAGGACTCTGATGGACTCAACGGTCTGGATGGGTTCCCCGGACATACCCCGGTTGGAGGCGTTGTGGTAACCCAGCGTCTCTATGGGAGCTCCCTTCTCCTCGGTGCTATCTGGTAAGTCTAAGCAGGACGAGGATACCCGGGTCTCGATCCGGTAGTGCTCCTCTTGCTGCTTCTGCCGGTCTCCTGCAGAAATCCCGACAGCGGCAACATCACTGGAACTTCCTTTGGAACTGTTTGGGCCAAATTGCTTGTTCTCATCGGAGGGCTTGCGGGAGGCGTTCTTAAGCATGTTCTTGAACTCGATGGTCGAAGTGGCAGAGATGGAAGCCGCGGGGAGATTATCCACGTTGGTTGCAGCGAGTCTGTTGGCTGGCGTCCCGAGGGCATTTTGGGGAGAGAACAGCGATCGGTGTTGGACCAAATGAGGAGAATCTGGATACTGCTTCTGAGACAGGCCTGACAGCGACATGGATTTGGATAAGCTGTTGTGATTGGAATCCGGTGGGAAGAAGACATCATTCTTGCTTGGCGTGGGCGACGCGTCCGGCCCGGAGTCGTTCCCTTGCAAACTGTAGTTGCTGTACATTCCCGGAGGGGACAACAAGTCACAGCTCTCGCTCTGGTCATGAAGAGATCGCATAGTTTGGGGGAAAGTGGACTTCAAGCCAAAGCCGGAGGATCTCGGGTTGTAACTCGACATAACAGGTTGGTACTCTGAAGAGTCAGAGAGCTTATTCGATTTCAGGATGGATTTGGGTGGCGGTTTCTCCAAGTTCATGAGACCAGACGGTGGGGGGACAGAATAGTCAAAGTCACGGTAGTCTTCGTCTTCTTGGAAGGAGGTGTCCGGGTAGAACTTCTCCTGAGGGGAATCCATTAAGGAAGAAGGCAATTCAATGCCATCAGAGGGCTGCTTATACAATCCTGGGGAATCCCGACCCAGACCAAAAGACCGGAACACCGAATTCGAGAGCTCTTGGGAATAGCCGTCGTCCCGGCTCTGAAGCGGCGACCTGGTGCTGCTGGGGGTCGAAGAGCCGGGGCTGATGATCTTCGAGAGCAGCGACATGGTGTCAACGTTGCTCGAGGAGGGCTTGTCCATCATCTCGTCTTGGGTGGGCGTCCCGCTCCGTTCGTCACGAACCGGTGTCCCGTCTATGCTGTCCATCGAGGTGCTGGTGGGCCCCCCGCGGTTGAAATCGGACGAGGAAGATTGGCTTTCGGGCGGCACGCTGGACCCCAAGCTGCTCAGAATTGGGATGTTGAGATTCAAGCCACTGAAACCCGGGTTCCCCTTCAGAAAGTTGTGTATCTTCATTTCCAGGCTGGGCGAAGTCGGCTCCGACTCTGCTTTTGTCTCCGAGATCTCGGAGGACTGATTTGTGGGGGGCTCGACTGGGTGTAGGGCAGGACTGCTAGCCTGCGGGCCGGAAAACCCAATAGAATTGCTCGGAGGCTTAAAACTGGGAGTTGGAAGCGCGGCCCCATGTCCAGTGGGAACCTTGTTCACCGACGTGGAAGACACTTCAGCAGAAGAAGAAGAATTTGGAGAATACCCAAAGGCCTGAGGCATGAAAGAGGGAGCGTTGGAAGAAATGCTTCGGCCTTTCCCTGCAGGAGCTGTCGTGTTGGCAGGCGATGAGGAGGTACTTTGCGACGCCGCTTCACTGGGCTGGGATGTATTCCCAGCCACACTCTGGAGGAAAGAGGACAAACCTGAAAAGGGAAGAGGAATGTTTTGATCAGATATCAAGAGGCAAAAGCACCAACAAGCGTCAAGTTTGACATGACAAGCCAAGCCAAGCTGCATTTTGGGACTATAGGGCTAGTAACAAACCTTGCAAACCCGAGGAGGATTGGGACTGGGACTTGGACAGCACAGACAGGATGCTTTCTGGGGTGATCTCCACCTTGGAGAAGATGTTCGCCAAAGGATTTCCTGGTGTCATGGGCAGAGCGCCCGAAGCCGGGGCCTTGGTGCCGCTCGCCAGAGTCGTTGGGCTTGTTGGGGTCCCGGGAGAGGGCCTTGAGGCAGGACTGACACCTGGGAATGGGAGAGGAAAACACAGTTCACAGGTAAGAGATGTAGCAAGGATGTTGGGTGCAATAAGGACACATTTGATAGTTCGCTGGAGGTCTCAACCTGACCCAAAGTAGAGAAGGAGGCACATCACAGAATAATAATTATTAATTATTTTGATTTTGGCTTAAATATCCGATTAGCCTGCACTCAAAAATGGCTGAACAATTCAATGAGATGCTGCAAACTGGAAACATCAGCAAATGGATAACAACTGGGAAGACATATTTGATACAGAAAGATCCAGCAAAAGGGATAATACCAGGAAACTGCAGGCCAATAACATGTCTGCCTACAATGTTCAAATTGCTGACAGCAATAATAGCTGATCTTTTAAACTGAGGTTTGAGTTCCCAGTTTGCCTGTTGGGAGATTGGAAAGAGTAGAGAGAAGAAGTGTGGATGTTAGCGAGCCCAGTTTTGGTTTTGAAGAAGAGGTTTTGGGTCAATCTTATGTGTAGTATTCAGAATAGCAATCGAGAATATAGCTAGAATACTGTGTGGAGCAGAACCCCGCTAGTGGTCTGTTCATTTCCTAAGGAAGGCTGGTTCAGGGTTTTGGCTAGATTCCTAAGGAGGATTTTTGGGAGTTACTTTCAGAGATTCATTTCCTGAAGTAATGTTCTGTGTTGTAACTTTTAAGACTTGTAACCCAGAAGTTTTTAAGATCTTTACTCAAACGTAACCACAAACTTTTTATGCCAGTATTTTACTGAAACCATTAAGCTTTTGTAGCTGAATCATTCAAGCCTGTTCAATAAACATTCTTGTTATGTTTATCAACTTATACCAGCCTCAGTGTGAATAACTTTTGTGTTCAAAGTCTTATCAAGTCAGCTTTTAACAGCCTCTAAGAAACTATAGTAGCACAGGGTGTGTTCACAGATCAAACTCTCAATATTAACTCAGCCTGCTTATTATTAATATGGTGGCAGCGCCAATCCTTTAAAGAATTATTTTAAGTCTCTCAGTTCCAGTGGTTCCCAGCTCCTAGCTTTTAAAAAGACAGTTGGTTCAGCAACCATACTCCCTTTACCTTTTGTGAGCTCTATAATTTGGTGAGCTAGTCAGTAGTGGAGGTGTACTTCGTTATAATTTGGCTGATCAGCGTTGGGAACAGTTCTATATATTTCCCAGTCTGATAAACCAATTTAAAAATATTACCACTACTTTCCTGAGTTGTTATACTATCCAATCCCAGGAGTTGTATTTTTATAAAGTCTTTAAGTAAGTATTCCATAGCCTTGAGCTATGACCATACAGCTAGGAAAACTCACAGCAACCCAATGATTCCAGCCATGAAAGCATTCGACAACAGACTAACTTTGCATTGTTCAAAACATAGGAATGATTCAGTTAACAAAGCATTGATGAGCATGTGTAAACAATGAAAAGCGAAAGCAACTAAGCCTGCTTCAAGAGGCAGGCAGCACGCTAAAAACAGATCACACAGTCTAAACCCTAAAACATAATTCAGAAGGCTGGTAACAGAAATATACTTCCCCGGAGGCATTTTGGAAGTGGTTTTGTGTACTTTTGCAGAGCGATGAGTCTCCATGCCCCGCCAAGGGAGGACCTGAGTTTTAGTTCAACAACACCCGTTCAGCCTCAAGATTTCATACATAACGTGGCATAAGTGGCTGCAATTAACCTGGGAATAACTCACCGGTGTTCTTCATCACAGATGTCAAGCTGCTAAGAATGGAGCTGATTTTGGCCAAATCCACATTGGCCAGGTTTGGCAAGGCGAGGGCCGGCGACGGTGGGAGTGGGGTCACCGGGTTCGTTGGCTTGGGGGTCGGCAAGGGTGTCGGGGTTGGAGCCAAAGGGGTGGGAGTTACAGGCGCCGGGGGCGGAGCCACTGCAGCCGCAACAGTCGTTGGAGGCGGTGTCTTTGGGATGCTTTCGGCCACCTTTACAGGCTCTGGTGTTGAAACCGTGGGTTTTTCCTTTCTTTCTTCGACTGTTTCAAAAGCAAAGGGGGAGGAGAACAGAGCTTAGGAATTGACCTGCACAATTGGACATGATTCACGACAGCAGAATGTCTATGAATGTTGCAACACTCGGAAAACCGCTGAGCTGCTGACCAAAAGGTTGGTGGTTCAAATCCGGGGGAGCAGGGGGAAGCGCCTAAGCCATCTGGAGAGGCCCTGCTCGCACTCCCGCCTCCTTCGCAGGCACGATTGGTGGGGACGAGGGAGAGGGCCTTCTCGGTGGTGGCCCCCCAACTCTGGAACTCACTCCCCAAGGACATCAGACATGCCTCAACATTGGCAGTCTTTAGGAGGAGCCTGAAAACGTGGCTTTTCCAGTGTGCCTTCCCAGAATAAGGAAAATTCCCAACAATATGTCCTCAGAATGCACTTTACTACTGGTTTAGAATTGACTGCGCTCCCTCATCTCTTTTAAAACCCTATACCAGATATATCCTACCTCGTTCATGCCCAGCGTTTATTTTTTAAATTCTTAAACTATTACATTTGGCCCGGCCACAGGTTTTTAAAACCTTGTGTGTTACTGTTTATTGGTTATTGTTTATATGTGATTTATAGTAATTGTATTGTATTTATTGTTTTTTATTTATTGCTTTTTGTTTTTATTGATGTGTTGTTGGGCTTGGTCTCATGTAAGCCGCTTCAAGTCCCTTAGGGAGATGTTGGCAGGGTATAAATAAATAAGTATTATTATTATTATTATTACTCCATGTTTCAAACTTACATAATTCCGTGTTTGTCTATTGCACTGCATTTTCAAAGGCTTGTTCAAAGAGCCAGGTTTTTATTTTTCTCTGGAAGGTCAGAAGGGAGGGGGCCGATCTAATACCCTTAGGGAAGGAGTTCCACAGGCAAGGGGCCACCACTGAGAAGGCCCTGTCCCTTGTCCCTGACAAATGCGTCTGCAAAAAAGGCAGGATCTAGAGTAGGGCCTCCCCGAAGGGGACTCAGAGCGGCTTACAAGATATATATACATACAATATATTATACTATTAGCATAGTACAATATCAGCATTATATATTACTATATTGTACTATACCATTATGTTGTAATATAAAATATATAAATATATAAAATATATCATTATAATATCATATTATATTGTGTTACATCATAATATTATAGATATTATATCATTATAATATATTATTATTAATATTATATTGTATTGCATTATAATATTATAGATATTATATATTATAATATCTATATTATATATTATAATATTATAGATATTATATATATAAATACCCCGAAGAGGACTCGGAGTGGCTTACAAGATAGATATACATACAATATATTATATTATTAGCATAGTACAATATCAGTATTATATATTACTATATTGTACTATACCATTACATTGTAATATTATTAGCAATGTTACATGTAATATAAAATATATAATTATAATATTATGTTATTATATTGTATTACATTATAATATTATAGATATTATATGTACGTACAATATATTATATTACATTATATATATAAAAATATCCCAAAGAGGACTCGGAGTGGCTTACAAGATAGATATACATACAATATATTATATTATTAGCATAGTACAATATCAGTATTATATATTACTATATTGGGCTATACCATTATATTGTAATATTATTACTAATATTACATGTAATATAAAATATATAATTATAATATCATATTATTATACAGTATTACATTATAATATTATAGCTATTATATGTACGTACAATGTATTATATTACATTATATATATAAATACCCCGAAGACAACTTGGAGCGGCTTACAAGATAGATATACGTACAATATATAATATTATTAGCATAGTACAACATCAGTATTATATATTACTATATTGTGCTATACTATTATATTGTAATATTATTACTAATATTACATGTAATATAAGATATATAAATATCATATTATATTGTGTTACATTATAATATTATAGATACTATATGTATATACAATATATTATTGTTGAGACTCAGCGTCTGTCTCATGCACCTACTACTAGTCTGTCTCAACAATTATACTACATGATATATATAAAAATACCACGAAGAGGACTTGGAGCAGCTTACAAGGTAGATATACATACAATATATTATATTATTAGCATGGTACAATATCAGTGTTATAACTATATCGTAATATTATTAGTAATATTACATGTAATATAAAATATATAATTATAATATATTATTAGTATTATATTGTATTACATTATAGTATTATAGATATTATATGTATGTACAATATATTATATTACATAATATATGTAAAAACATACCAATAATCTTTGGGGCATCCTCCTCCACATCCGACAGCTCCATGTCCTCCACGTCACGATTGTCAGTTGCAGGCTCCGGAGACGGGGATTTGGCCCCCTCGGCCTCTCTTGGCACGGGCGAGAGCTCCTCGTCCCCCATCCCCGGGAAGGGAGACTCCGAGCCCGTCGGGGAGGGAGCGTCCATGCTGGGCGAGGGAACGGGCGACTCTTCAGGATCCGGAAGCGTCGCCTTCAGCTGATCCAGTTTCTTCTTCAGGTTGTTCACTCGGTTAGCAAATGTTTTGTAGGCCTGGCCAAGAAGAAGAAAGAGAGCGAGTGGCATTCAAAACAAAGGCCAAACCAGCCTGCCATCATTTTACTTTATACAGTGTTCCCTCACTTATTGCAGGGGTTCCGTTCCAGTACCACCCGCGATAAGTGAAAATCCGCGAAGTAGGGACGCCATATTAATTTTAATGTTTATAATTTTTAAATATATTTTATATATTACTAGCCGTCCCCTACCACGCGTTCCTGTGGCCCAGTCTGTGTATATGTGTTTTGTGTGTATATATATATGTGTGTGTTTGTATATATATGCATGTATATATTTGTGTGTGTGTATACATGCATATTGTGTATATGTGTGTGCTTGTTTATATGTATAGTTGTGTGTATATGTGTGCATGCATGTGTACATATATATGGGTGTATATATGTATATTTGTGTGTTCATGTGTATATATGTGTGTGTATGTATATGTATACTAGCTGTCCCCTGCCACGCGTTCCTGTGGCCCAGTCTGTTGATCTGGAAAATGGCTTTGGATGGACTTAAGTGTTTTCCTCTGGATGGACTTAAGTATTTTCCTTTGGTCATGGGAGTTCTGTGTGGGAAGTTTTCCCCGATTCTGTCATTCGTGGGGTTCAGAATGCTCTTTGATTGTAGGTGAACTGTGAATCCCAGTGACTACAATTCCCAAATGTCAAGGTCTATTTCCACCAAACTCCATCTGTGTTCATATTTGGGCGTATTGAGTGTTTGTGCCAAGTTTGGTCCAGATCCATCATTGTTTGAGTCCACAGTGCTCTCTGGATGTAAGTGAACTACAACTCCCAAACTCAAGGTCAATGCCCAACAAACCCTTCCAGTATTTTCTGTTGGTCATGGGAGTTGTGTGTGCCAAGTTTGGTTCAATTCCATTGTTGATGGAGTTCAGAATGCTCTTTGATTGTAGGTGAATTATAAATCCCAGCAACTACAACTCCCAAATGACAAAATTATCATTTTTTGAGTGATGGTCACTCCTTGTGTTGTGAGACGTTTCGTTGCCAAATTTGGTGTGGTTTCGTTCATTGGTTGTTTGGTTTTTAAGGTACTCATTATGCACGGAGCATTTTTATATATATATGTGTGTATATTTGTGTGTGTTTGTGCATATATATATATATATATATGAATATGTGCATGTGTATATGTGTATGAGTGTATGTGTATCAAGAATAGGGCTCCATAGTCACCTACAGACCCACCCTGGAGGATTATCCTACTCAGACAACGAGAGATCGCCTAAGTAAGTATATATGGTATATTTTCGGGATTTTAAGTCTGCTCCGCTGGGGTTTTGTGTGTGTGTGTGTGTTTTTTAGGGGTGATGGACACTCGTTGGACTGTTAGGTGTATTGTGTCCAAATTTTGTGTCAATTCGTCCAGTGATTTTTGAGTTATGTTAATCCCACAAACGAACATTACATTTTTATTTATATAGACTAGCCGTCCCCTGCCACGCGTTGCTGTGGCCCAGGTTGGTGATGTGGAAAATAAAGTAATGAGAATGTGTTGATTTCTAATATATGTAATTTCTTTCTGCGTGTGCGTAAACAGTATTTCTTGTTTCTTTGTCAGTGTTGATGTGGAGAGTGTCTGGTTTGCCTACTCTGGAACATGCAACATGCAAATTGTCCTTCTTTAGGCGTCCCTTTCAAATCTATGATACTATATCTCTCTCTGTGTGTGAATCATATATATCTATCTAATCTATATCTATGGCTGAATGGCTCTTTGTCAGGAAGGCTTTGATTACATTTTCTTTCCCTGGTGAAGGGAGTTGGACTGGATGGCCTTAAGCATTTTCTGTTGGTCATGGGGTTCTGTGTGGGAGGTTTGCCCCAATTCTGTTGTTGGTGGGATTCAGCATGCTCTTTGATTGTAGGAGAAGTATAAATCCCAGTAACTACAACTCCCAAATGTCAAGATTCTATTTTCCCCAAACTCCACTAGTGTTCACGTTTGGCCACATTGAGTATCTGTGCCAAGTTTGGTCCAGATCCATCATCGTTTGGCAGTCCACAGTGCTCTCTGGATGGAGGTGAACTACAACTCCCAAACTCAACGTCAATGCCCACCAAACCCTTCTAGTGTTTTCTGTTGGTCATGGAAATCCTGTATGCCAAGTTTGGTTCAGTTCCATCATTGGTGGAGTTCAGAATGCTCTTTGATTGTAGGTGAACTATAAATCCCAGCAACTACAACTCCCAAATGACAAAATCAATTTTTTTGAGTGAAGGACATACATTCGGTTGTTAGGTGTCTTGTGTCCAAATTTGGTGTCAATTCGTCCAGTGGTTTTTGAGTTCTGTTAATCCCACAAACTAACATTACATTTTTATTTATATAGATTTTCTTATCCGGGCTTCCTTACCCATCTCCCTGGCCTCCGCAGAGCCTCTGGAGCCACGCAGGCAGCAGTAGGCCAGAGAGGAAGGCCTTCCCTGCCGCCGCACTTCCAGGGGTTCCTGGCCTCAAATATTTAATATTTTTATTAATATTTTCAAAAACCCGCGAAACAGCGAGTCCGCTAAAAGCGAACTGCGAAGTAGCGAGGGAACACTGTATACTTGAGTATAAGCCCTTCTCTCTAATATACAGTCAGAAGGAAAACGTTGCAAAACAAGTTGGTTTGAGTAGATGAACTCCGCAAATCAGTTGCAGAGGAAGGCCTCCTTCCTCGGGACTCACGTTTGCCACCACCTTGACTTCTTTGTACTGCGCTTCGTAGAAGATCCCCGCGTTTTCAAGCACCTCCGTCAGGGAAGGGCCGTTCTTCACCTGCTTGTCCAGGCTGTTGACGAACTCTTCAAGCTTGGCGCTCGCCTCTTCAAATTCCTTGGAGAACTTCTTGCCCCCGGTTTTGTCTGAAAGGAAACGGGGGAAATTGTAAGCTTAGCTTACTGATATAAACACAGGAACATGCCTCAAACAGACTGGAGTACTCTACATCTTGAGAGGGCAAGGAAAAGAGGGATCCAGTGCCTGACAACGTACGCAAGCAACCTCCATCTTGAAAAACAGAGAAATCAGACCTCTGCTTAAGTTTCTCCCATATTGAAGTATTTTAAGGGATTACTTTGTACACATGCATATTTTTAGTCTGAAATTGGAGAGAAAAGCAGAGGGTGAGCCCTAGCGCCACAAGGATTGAGAAGCAATCTTTGTAGTAAAATAATATAGTTGCATTATTTACAATGACAAGGTCTTTTATACTTCCTTCTTTGCTTCCATGCTGGACTTATTCCTCACAGAGCGCCCTCTCACATCAAAATTCCACAGAAGCTTCACCCAGTAGCTTTACACACAAGGCCTTGAACCTGGGGCTTCTTTTACCAGAGCTTCTCACACACTGAGGTTTACCTCACACTCTTCAGAACAACATTAGCTTTGGCCCACTGACTCTAAGGTTTCTATAACACAAATAAAGTTGTTTATACTTCCTTCTTTGCTTCCATGCTGGGATTCTTCCTCACAGAGCATCCTCTCACATCTAAATTCCACAGAAGCTTCACCCAGTAGCTTTACACACAAGGCCTTGAACCTGGGGCTTCTTTTACCAGAGCTTCTCACACACTGAGGTTTACCTCACACTCTTCAGAACAACATTAGCTTTGGCCCACTGACTCTAAGGTTTCTATAACACAAATAAAGTTGTTTATACTTCCTTCTTTGCTTCCATGCTGGGATTCTTCCTCACAGAGCATCCTCTCACATCTAAATTCCACAGAAGCTTCACCCAGTAGCTTTACACACAAGGCCTTGAACCTGGGGCTTCTTTTACCAGAGCTTCTCACACACTGAGGTTTACCTCACACTCTTCAGAACAACATTAGCTTTGGCCCACTGACTCTAAGGTTGCTATAACACAAATAAAGTTCTTTATACTTCCTTCTTTGCTTCCATGCTGGGATTTTTCCTCACAGAGCGCCCTCTCACATCGAAATTCCACATCAAAATTCTCCTCCTAGCTTTGGCCCACTGACTCTAACAGGCTTCGGCCTACTCGCTCTCCTAAGGACAATACTGGGATTCTTCCTCACAGAGCGCCCTCTCACATCAAAATTCTCACATCGAAATTCTCCTCCTAGCTTTGGCCCACTGACTCTAACAGGCTTCGGCCTACTCGCTCTCCTCAGAGCAATACTAGCTTTGGCCCACTGACTCTAAGGTTTCTATAACACAAATAAAATTATTTATACTTCCTTCTTTGCTTCCATGCTGGACTTCTTCCTCACAGAGACACCTCTCACATCAAAATTCCATAGAAGCTTCACACAGTAGCTTTACACACAAGGCCTTTAACCTGGGGCTTCTTTTACCGAAGCTTCTCACACACTGAGGTTTACCTCGCACTCCTCAGGACAACACTAGCTTTGGCCCACTGACTCTAACAGGCTTCGGCCTACTCGCTCTCCTCAGGATGATGCTAGCTTTGGCCTACTGACTCTAAGGTTTCTATGACACAAATAAAGTTATTTATACTTCTTTCTTTGCTTCCATGCTGGGCTTCTTCCACACAGAGCGTCCTCTCACATTGAAATTCCACAGAAGCTTCACACAGTAGCTTTACACACAAGGCCTTTAACCTGGGACTTCTTTTACGAAAGCTTCTCACACACTGAGGTTTACCTCACACTCCTCAGGACAACATTAGCTTTGGCTCACTGACTCTAACAGGCTTCGGCCTACTTACTCTCCTCAGGACAACACTAGCTTTGATTTCTATAACACAAATAAAGTTTCTGCAAAACGTGGACTGTCTACAGATGTCACATGCAACTCCTGGAACGATTCCATCAGCGTTGCCTCTGAAAAATCCTGTAAATTTCTTGGGAAGACAAGCGGACAAACGTCAGCGTGCTGGAAGAAGCAAAGACCATTAGCACTGAAGTGATGGTCCTCCACCATCAACTCCGCTGGACTGGCCACGTTGTCCGGATGCCCGACCACCGTCTCCCAAAGCAGTTGCTCTACTCCAAACTCAAGAACGGAAAACGGAATGTCGGTGGGCAGGAAAAGAGATTTAAAGATGGTCTCAAAGCCAACCTTAAAATCTCTGGCATAGACACTGAGAATTGGGAATCCCTGGCCCATGAACGCTCCAGTTGGAAGTCAGCTGTGACCAGCAGTGCTGCAGAATTTGAAAAGGCACAAATGGAGGGTGAAAGAGAGAAACGTGCCAAGAGGTACCCCGACCAACACCGCCTTCCACCTGGAAACCAATGCCCTCACTGCGGAAGAAGATGCAGGTCATGAATAGGGCTCCACAGTCACCTACGGATCCACAAGAATACAGATCATGGAAGACTATCCTACTTGTCCAAAGAAGGATCGCCTAAGTAAGTAAGTAAGTAAGTATATGTGTTGTTCTGCAAAATAAAGACTAAACACCTTATTCTTTACTGATCATTTGCGTGGCATATCATTTTTCTAGCAAGACAGTGTCTGGAGTGGCAAAAGCGTGAACTACGTGTGATTTTCATTCCACCACAGGCTGCTCCTACCTTTCAGGCATTTCAGTGTCTCGGTGCTGCAAACGTCCACCCGCATGGTGGCAAGCTGCTTCTCCTTCAACTCGATCTGGTCCTCGGAGCGCTTGTGAAACAGGAGTTCGTCGACGAGGGACTGCGGCTGGGGAAGAAGGAGGAACGGATTCAGTGAACGCGGCTGGTTCAACACATTCTGTTGGACATAAATGAGCCTTTTGCAACACTTGGGAGATCGGTACCCTGGTGCCAGAGGAGATCACAACACAAAAACACCACAAAACAGAAAGTGACTTCAAACCCATTCCTGTTGCTGTTTTGAGATGGAAACAGAAGTATATTTGGTAGAACGGGGTTCTGGATTCTTGGCCAATGGGGTAATTTAATGTGATTCTGCACTGTCTTGCCTAATATTTACCGTATATATTGCAAGACATCCGGGCGTCCCCTGGGCAACGTCTTCGTAGACGGCTGATTCTCTCGACACAGAAGCGACCAGCATGCAAGCAAGCAAGCAAGCAAAACAACCAACGGACCTTTTCAGGACCAACCATGACAATAATCTCAATCAACATCGAAGGCATGTCAGCTGCCAAAGAGCAACTGCTCTATGAATTGTGCCGAGATAAGAAATATGATGTGCTGTGTGTCCAAGAAACACACAGGGATGAACAACAGAAACGACCCAAAGTTCCAGGAATGGTCTTAGTAGCACTTGTTCTGTTGACCCAGGGAAGTCACTGCCTCAGGGTGTGGTGGAGGCCCCTTCACCACACCCTGAGGCTGGATGACCATCTGTTGAGGGTGCTTTGATTGTCCCTTTCCTGCCTGGCAGAATGGAGGTGGACTGGATGTCCCATGAAATCTCTTGCAACTCTATGGTTCTATGATTCTAGGGGCTGCTCAAAGATGGAACCTCATACTCTCTTAGGGATGGACATTATTTCCACAGCCATCTTCTACATTCAATTTGAGAGAAAGACTACTTTCCTCTCTCTCTACTGGGACTTACTCGAAACTCTGCAACTATCTTCGACTTCAGGGCCGCTTTCGGATTCGTCGAGGCTGCGGGAAGGAAGGATCAAGATGTTTAGAATAGTATCTGTAGCAAAACTAAGAGAAAGAACCGAAACACACATATATAACCATGCATGCCACCTTTGCCCATGTGCTGGGCATTCGATTAGAGAAAGGGCACAGAGTCCAAACCTAGCTGTGATCCCCTTGCTAGCCAGAATGAGAATATGTGCAATCACACAACCCGCTTCTGTTCCTGTTTGGTTTCCTGTAGTTCTAGCTGCTGACCGAAATGTCGGCGGTTCGAATCCGGGGAGCAGGGTGAGCTCCTGCTATTAGCCCCAGCTTCTGCCAACCATAGCAGTTCGAAAACATGCAAATGTGAGTAGATCAATAGGTACGCTCCTGTGGGAAGGTAACAGCGCTCCATGCAGTCATGCCGGCCACATGACCTTGGAGGTGTCTATGGACAACGCCGGCTCTTCGGCTTAAAAATGGAGATGAGCACCAACCCCCAGAGTCGGACACGACTGGACTTAATGTCAATCAATCAATCAATTGATTGATTGATTGGACTTAATGTCAAGGGGAAACCTTTATAGTAGAGTCTCGCTCATCCAACATAAACGGGCTGGCAGAACGTTCGTTAAGCGAAAATGTTGGATAATAAGGAGGGATTAAGGAAAAGCCTATTAAACGTCAAATTACATTACGATTTTACAAGTTAAGCACTAAAACATAATGTTTCACAATAAATCGAGAGAAAAAGCAGGACAATACATGGTAACATTATGTAGTAATTACTGTATTTACGAATTTAGCACCAAGACATCGCAATGTAATGAAACGGTTAAAATAATAATAATAATAATAATAATAATAATAATCTTTATTTGTACCCCGCTACTTGGTGCGGCTTACATGAGGCCAAGCCCAAAGTACATCAAACAAAACATCAATAAACACAACATCAATAAACAATCAATAAAATACAAATCATATAAATCACATAAACAAAAAACAATCAATAGATTAAAAATTGAAAATATGCTGACGTGAACAAGGTAAAATATAACTAGGATAGGATTTTTCGGAGAGAAATGAGGGAGCACAGTCCATTTAATTACAATTGTCTTAATTATCTATTTATCTAATTATCCATCCATCCATCTTCCTCTCCTATATAGCTATCAATTGATACTCTTACTACGTTATGTAGTAATTACTGTATTTACAAATTTAGCACCAAAACATACATCACAATGTGTTGAAACAGTTAAAATGTCCTAATTATCTATCTATCTATCTATCTATCTAATTATCCACCCATCTTCCTCTCCTATATATCTATCAATCGATACTCTTTCTCTACCTACCTATCTGCCTATCCACCATCCATTTATCTAATTATCTATATATCTAATTATCTAACTAGCTAATAATCTAGCTAATAATCTATACAGTGTAACATTATGTAGCAATTACTGTATTTACAAATTTAGCACCAAAACATCGCAATGTATTGAAACAGTTAAAATATCCTAATTATCTATCCATCTGTCTATTTATCTATCTACCTACCTGCCTATCTATCTAATTATCCATCTATCCATCTTCCTCTCCTTTTTAATTATCTATCTATCTATCTATCTGTCTGTCTGTCTGTCTGTCTGTCTGTCTGTCTATCTATCTATCTATCTATCTATCTATCTATCTATCCATCCATCCACCTTCCTTTCCTATATATCTATCAATCAATACTCTTTCCCTATCTACCTACCTCTCTATCTAATTGCCTATCCATCATCCATCTATTTTTCTCATCTATCTATCTATCTATCTATCTATCTATCTATCTATCTATCTAATTATCTATCTAGCTCAAGGGCCCTCAAGCTTTTAAAACAGAGGGCCAGGTCATAATCCCCCAAACTGTTGGAGGGCCGGTTTATAATTTGGAAAAAACATGAATGAGTTCCTATGCACACTGCACATATCTTATTTGTAGTGCAAAAAAAATACAATAATTAAAATGAAGAACAATTTTAACAAATATAAACTTATTAGTATTTCAATGGGAAGTGTGGGCCTGCTTTTGGCTGATGAGATAGGATTGCTGTTGTTGTGTGCTTCCAAGTCATCTCAGACTTAGGTTGACCCTGAGTGAGGGCCGGGTAAATGACCTTGGAGGGCCGTATTTGGCCCGCGGGCCGTAGTTTGAGGACCCCTGATCTAGCTAATAATCTATACATCCACCCATCTATCTTTCTCATCTGTCTATCTATTTATCTATCTATCCATCGTCTGGATCCTGGCGGGAGGCAGACTGTGTTGGATAATATACAACGTTGGATGAGCGAAGGTTGGATAAGCAAGACTCTACTGTACTTCTAGCTACTTAGAAGATGTTTTCCAGGTGGATACGGCCCTTCAACCTGCCCACCCGCTTCCCCAAAAGTGTGACAGAAGCCTTTCCTGTCTGACTTTGTATTGTTTTTTTCTCTTAAGCCATTTGTGACTTTCTTTTTGATGGAATGCACCATATGTGGTGCTGGCAAAGATGGCTCAGGTAAGCTGTTCTCCCGAGAATGCCAAAGAAAGCTTGCTTGTCTGTGTCATAGCTCTATCGTTCTTTCCCGGCATGTGGTGGACACCATTTGAGTCTGTTTCTGGCGGATACAGAGTCTCCTGATTTATTCCTTGCTGGCTTAAGCACCGTTAATGGGTCGGGCCTCCATCTCGTCTCTCTCTCGCTCTCCTGCCGCTGCTTCCCAAGACAGTTCTGTCACTACCTTTGCAGTTGCATCTGCCCTTTCAAAACATTATCAGGCCCTCTGTGTCTTAAGCTCTGGTCCTTTCTGGGGGCAAAAACAACACAACAGCCCTAGAGTTCCTAGGGTCTTAGGCACTGCATTTTGGGGGTGCAGGTATCCAACACCCCTTCCTGTTTCTCAAAGAGGGGTTCACATATCACGTCGAGACACATCTCCTTACTTTGAGATTTCTTCCATGACTTAGTTGGTTGTTTGCTCTGAGTTTCTTTCTGCTGCTTCTGAGATTTGAAAGAGGAACCTGGAAAACATTGGGTTTTTTAATATATATTTTTTGTACATTCTCTTGCGAAGTCTCTCTCCCCTCCATCGGCAAGAAAGAGACCCCATTCTGGGCACCACAACTGAAGGGAGATATTGACAAGCTGGAATGTGTCCAGAGGGCGGTGACTCAAATGATCAAGGGTCTGGAGAACAAGTCCTATGAGGAGCGGCTTAAAGAGCTGGGCATGTTTAGCCTGAAGAAGAGAAGACTGAGTGAAGACATGATAGCCATGGATAAATATGTGAGAGGAATATGTCATAGGGAGGAGGGTTATTTACACACACACACACACACTTTCCTATTATAATATATATATATATATATATATATATATATATAATAAAAAATTATAATAAAATAATACACACACATACATATATATACTTCCCTATCATCTAAAATAAAATTATATAAATAAATAAATTATAATAAATAAATAAAATTACACATATACATATATATTTCCCTATTATCTAAAATAAAATTATATAAATAAATAAATAATGATAAAATAAAAAATAAAAATAATACACACACAGATATACTTCCCTACATTCTAAAATAAAATTATCTAAATAAATAAATTATAATAAATGAAATAAATGAAATAAAATAATACACACACATATATATACTTCCCTGTTATCTGAAATAAAATTATATAAATAAATAAATTATAATAAATGAAATAAAATAAATAAAATAATACACACACATATATATACTTCCCTGTTATCTGAATAAAATTATATAAATAAATAAATTATAATAAATAAAATAATTTTTTTGTCGTGTCAGGAGTGAGTGCAAGTCGCTTCTGGTGTGAGAAAATTGGCTGTCTGCAAGGACGTTGCCCAGGGGACGCCTGGATGATTTGATGTTTTTATCATCCTTGTGGGAGGCTTCTCTCATGTCCCCGCATGAGGAGCTGGAGCTGATAGAGGGAGCTCATCCGCCTCTCCCCGGATTTGAACCTGCGACCTGTTGGTCTTCAGTCCTGCCGGCACAGGGGTTTAACCCACTGTGCCACCGGGGGCTCTGGTGGTCAGTTAGTCACACACACACACACACTTCCCTATTATATAAAATAAAATTAAATAAATAATAAATAATAAATAAATAAATAATACACACACACACATATATACTTCCCTATTATATAATATTATATATATATATATATATATATATACACACACACATACACACACACACACACACACACACACACGCGCGCGCGCGCGCTAATAGGGAAGTGGGAAAAGAAGGGAAAAGTATTGTTTTTCCAAGTAAAGTGGGGGAGCAATGCTGAGATAGGAAAGTAGGAAGGAAAGAAACCCAAAACCCCAAAAGGACCCAAAATAGGGTGCCTAAAGAAAAAAACGGAAAAAAAATACAATAATAAAAAATGCAAAATAGAAAAAATTGTGACTTTCATCTTAGCGTTTTTAAACTTATACGGTCAGTAATCTTCTATGTTTAATGTAATAAAAAAACAAAAAGTATAAAAGAAACTTTAACATTGACCACATTTATGAGTTCTTTTATTAATTCTTTTGTGTTTTTCTCTTTTCTTCGTATTTCTCCACTTGTGACCAGTTTGTTTCTTTAATCGGATTTCCTGAATTTTTCTTTAAATAAAATATTAAGTCTGTTGGGGGTGCTTTCAATGCAATTTTCCTACTTCTTGGCAAAAAGGGGTTGGACTGGATGGCCCTTGGGGTCTCTTCCAACTCTAGGAATTCCATATGAGGCCTGGGACAATTATCTTTATGGAACGTTTGGTAAATGGCCGGCTAGCAAGCCATGAATAGCCTCAATCCCAATGGAACTAACTGCGTTTCCAACCTTCAGGATCCTACTTGACGTGTTAAGGATGTGGTTGGCAATCTCAAGGAGCAGAGTTACAGCATCAATTGAGTTTGCAGGCAGTAGTTGAAAGCCACTCCAATTTGGCTGAAGAGAGCAGACAGGAAGACTTATGTCTACCATAGACAGACCACGAAATGCCCTTCTCAGACCATGTGGTAACTAACTCCACACTCACAACCATTTTCAGAATATAAAAACATAAAAAATATAAAATAAATTTCACTGCACTACATTAGCGCTTGATCATAAATGTATATTCTGCATATGAAAACTCAAAAGTGTCAAATTTGGTACAAACTCTGAACTATATTACTATAATGTAATACAATATAATACTAGTAATAATAATACAATATTATCATTATATATTTATATTACCTGTAATATTACTATACTATATGTATGTTCCATAAATAGTCTGGAAACCCATATGCTTTTAATCAATGTACTCTTTAGTAATATTATATACTAATAATATAATATTGTATATACATATAATATTTATAATATTATAATGTAATATGATATAATACTAGTAATAATACTACAATATTATAATTATAATTATATATTTACATTGCATGTAATATTACTAATAATATTACAATATAATGGTATAGTGCAATATAGTAATATATCATACTGATATTGTACTAATCTAATAATATAATATATTGTATGAAAATATATCTTGTAAGCCACTCTGAGTCCCCTTCGGGGTGAGAAGAGCAGCATACAAATGCCGTAATTAATAAATAAAATAAATTTAGATGTCCAATGGATTTCACAATTCTGGAGTCCTATAGATTTATACATATAATATCTATAATATTATAATGTAATACAATATAATATGATATTATAATTATATATTTGATATTACATGTAATATTACTAATAATATTATGATATAATGGTATAGTGCAATATAGTCATATCTAATACTGATATTGTACTATGCTAATAATATAATATATTGTACGTATATATATCTTGTAAACCGCTCTGAGTTTCCCTTCGGGGTGAGAAGGGCTCTGAGTCCCCTTCAGGGTATTTTTTACATATATAATGTAAGATAATATATTGTACATACATATAATATCTATCATATTATAATGTAATACAATATAATAATATGATATTATAATTATATATTTGATATTACATGTAATATTACTAATAATATTACGATATAATAGTATAGTGCAATATAGTCATATCTAATACTGATATTGTACTATGCTAATAATATAATATATTGTACGTATATATATCTTGGAAGCAGCTCTGAGTTTCCCTTCGCGGTGAGAAGGGCTCTGAGTCCCCTTCAGGGTATTTTTTACATATATAATGTAATATAATATATTGTACATACATATAATATCTATGATATTTTAATGTAATATAACATGATAATAATAATAAGATATTATAATTATATATTTTATATTACATGTAATATTATTAATAATATTACGATATAATAGTATAGTGCAATATCGTAATATGTAATACTAATATTGTACGATGCTGATAATATAATATATTGTATGTATATATATCTTGTAAGCCGCTCTGGGTCCCCTTCGGGGTGAGAAGTGTGGCACAGAAATGTCGTAAATAAATAAATAAATAAAATCTTTTGATCTTTTGCTATACTATGTATTGTTGAAGGAATTCATGGCCAGAATCACTGGGATACTGTGAGTTTTCTGGGCTCTCTGGCCATCTTCCAGAAGCATTCCCTCCTGATGTTTCACCCACATCTATAGCAGGCATCCTGAGAGGTGGTGAGGTCTGTTGGAAACTAGGCAGGTTGGGTTTATATACCTGTGGAGTAATGTCCAGGGTGGGAGATGTTGCCACTGGCCAGCCTGATCAGCATTGAATGGCCTTGCGACTTTAAAGTCTGGCTGCTTACTGCCTGAATTTTTAAATACAGTGTTCTCTTGCTACTTCGCGGACTCGCTTTTAACGGACTTGCTGTTTCGTGGGTTTTTGAATATATATATATATATATATATATTATTATTATTATTATTAAATATTTACATCCAGTGGAGGCCAGAGACACCAGAAGGGCAGCGGCCTGAGGCACGGCGGGGAAGGCCTGCCTCTCTGGTTTCCACAGACCCTGGAAGTGCAGCGGCCTAAGGCATGGTGGGAAAGGCCTGCCTCCCTGGCCTGCTGCTTCCTGCGTGGCTCCAGAGGCTCTGCGGAGGCCAGAGAGGCAGGCAGGTGCCCTTGAGATGGGCCGGGAGGCAGGTAAGGAAGTGCGGGTAAGAAAATAATATAGAAAATATAGAAAATGTAATGTAATGCAATATAATACTAATAATAATATGATATTATAATTATATATTTATATTACATGTAATATTACTAATAATATTACAATATAATGGTATAATACAATATAGTAATATTTAATATTGATATTGTACTATGCTAATAATATAATATATTGTATGTATATGTATCTTGTAAGCCGCTCTGAGTCCCCTTCGTGGTGAGAAGGTCGCCATCAATGTCATAAATAAATAAATAAAGTATAAATATCAAAAATAATATAAGATTTTCACTTATTGCGTTGGTCCTGGAACGGAACCCCCGCAATAAGTGAGAGAACACTGTACTCTACTCTTATTATTTTTAAAGCTCTAAAATCAGGACAGTAAATAAAGAACAACACTCAAAAACAGGAGAATTCCAGACAAGAAACAATCAGGGCCGGCTAATCACCTCCCAACAAAGGATTCCCCCAGGCAGTAAGCAGTCAGTAATCACCTCCCAACAAAGGATTTCCCCAGGCAGTGAGCAGCCAGATAATCACCTCCCAACAAAAGATTCCCCCAGGCAGTAAGCAGCCAGACCTTGAAGCTGCAAGGCCATTCAATGCTAATCAAGGTGGCCGATTGCAATGTTCACATTCACCTCCGACAGACAAGAGTTCTTTCTCCCACACTGGACATTATTCCACAGATATATCAACCCCACTTGCAGTTTCCAACAGACCTCACAACCTCTGAGGATGCTTGCCATAGGTGATGGAGAAACGTCAGGAAAGAATGCTTCTGGAACATGGCCACATAGCTCACATCAACCCACTGATTAGGGCCATGAAAGCCTTCAACAATACATATTAAAAATATTAAATATTTAAAATATTAAAATTTTAAAATAACCTTATCATATGCCACCCAGAAATATTCAGATAGTGACAGTGCATAAATATTTTAATAGCAATTGTAGCAATAATAATGACAATACTCTAGATTTCGGTCTCCTCCTCCTCCCATTATTCACCCCTCTCTGTGATATATGCGCCGAGAGATATCTATAGAAAAGGACTTACTTAAAGCTTCTTTTAGTACCACAATGGTTTCCTCTGGATACACATTTCTGTCCTCCCAGATTTTGAAAATCCTTTCGACAGATTTGGAGATTGATGGATCTCTGAAAATGAGAGACAAAATGCATTTGGTTTGAGGAAAGTGACATTCAGGGACAACAGTCTCGATGGCAAAATACAACCAAATCCTGCTACTGCAGGGACTAAGATTCAAATGACAGAGGAAAAAAGATTCCACCTAGACAATAAGAACTTCCTGATGGTAAGAGTTGTGCAGCAGTGGAATATGATGGCTGGGAGTCTGATGGAGTCTCCTCTGGAGGTTTTTTAAGCAGAGGCTGGATGGCCATCTGTTGGGGGTGCTTTAATTGTATGTTGTTGCATGGAAAAAGTGGGCTGGACTGGACGGATCTTGGGGTTTCTTCCAACACTCTCCCTGTAGACATCAGACAGGCGCCCTCCCTCATGACCTTCCGAAAAAGCCTTAAGACATGGCTGTTCAAGAAGGCATTTAATTAAGTGTTATAACCATGTGGTAAAGATGATTGGAATGGAATAAGGAATATGAGATTGGCTTATGATTCCACTATGAGACGAAGCGGATTTTTAGTGTAGTTTTTGTAATTGTTATGTAGTTGATATGTTGTTGTAATTGCCTTTTTGTAAATTGTCTTTTATATGTGTGTACACCGCCATGAGTCGCCCTAAAGGGCTGAGAATGGCGGTTAATAAATGCATCAAATAAATAAATAAATAAATAAACACTAGGATTTATTATTCTACCTGGTCCAGAAAGTGATGACAAATATGGTTAAAAAAAAAAATCTGACTTACTTCACCAACACAGCGGCTTCTGGGAGCACTTCGGCAAAGGTGTCGCGAAAGATTATGGCGTTTTTTCTTTTGCAGTTCTGTATGACGTCGTTGGCCAGGTAGAAGAGGTTCAGCCGATGCTGGACATTGGCTAGAAAGAACAGAAGTCATCAGTCAGTGATGAAGAAATAGTTTTCTAAGATCTACAGAGACACTCGCTCGAACACCTCAGCAAGCGAGAGTCCAAAAGTGGCAGGCTCAAACCCAGAACCTCAACCAATGGCTGATACCAAATGAGAGACTCCCCCCGGGCACACAGAAAACTGGGCGACTTGGAAGGCGCTGAACAGACTGTGCTCTGGCACCACGAGATGCAGAGCCAACCTCAAGAAATGGGGCCACAAAGTGGAATCCACGACATGCGAGTGCGGAGAATAACAAACCACTGACCACCTATTACAATGCAACCTGAGCCCTGCCACATGCACAAGGGAGGACCTTCTTGCAGCAACACCAGAGGCACTCCAAGTGGCCAGCTACTGCTCAAAGGACATTTAATATAAGGTTTTTGTTTTATTTTCAAATACAATACAACTCTTTGGTTCGCTCCTGATACGATAAATAATCAGTCAATGCACAAAATCCCAACCCCTCGGTCCCACTTATTCCTGATTTAGAGAGTTACAGAAATGAAGACGCTCCACTTCCAACTGCAACTACAAGGGTTGAATGAAAAGTAAAATGAACACCTATAATTATTTGTTCCTGGAAGCAAACAGTAATCCAATATCGAACTCCTTCTCTGACTGTGAATGCAGCCTTCTTTATTTACGAGGGTTGAATGAAAAGTAATGCCTCCACCTTCATTACTTGGGTTTGGATGGGAATATTTAAATAAATCAAACACATAAACAATCCTTCGAATGTGCTCTTTAACTACCACTATCCATTTTTTGACATAACCACCAGACAATCAGATACATTTCTGCCAACGATGAACAAGTTTTCTGAAGCCGTCACGGAAGAAGTCGACACTCTGCTTCCGCAACGAGCATCGCACAGTTCTTTCAACGTACCCATAGTGCACAGATCTTCCAATAGCCAAACAAATAATAATAATAATAATAATAATAATAGACTTTATTTATACCCCACCACCATCTCCCCGATGGGGACTCGGAGCCGCTCACATGAGGCCAAGCCCAAACAACAAATTACAACAGAGTAAAACCGAAAACGCAAACCGAAAATGCGAACAATAAACAACAACAAAAGCGATAATGTGACCCACACGTTCTTGTGAAATGCCAACTATGCTTGCAATTTCTCTCTGAGTGATACAACAATCGTCTTGAATCAAACTGTCAATCTTTTGCTTGTGATACTTGGTGGTTGCTGTCACAGGACATCCAACTCTTTGTTTGTCACGCAAGTCAGATGTTCCCACTTCAACATCTTTAAACATACTCACCCAACAATGCACAGTACTTACATCAACACAATCATTGTAAACAGCTTGGATTCTCTGATGAATCTCTTTGGGTGACACCTTCTGCTGTCAAGAATTCAATGACTGCACGTTGCTCAAGTTGCATTGACCGACTGCGCAGGGTTCCATACATCTCACTTTCACAACAAAACCGTTCAATGCTAAGGCTTCCCGCCAAAATGGAACTGTAGAGGAGAGTCTACTGAACAAGCCAGTACCTGCTGCATACGCGGCTTAAGTCGCATTGACCGACCGTCTGCGCAGGGTTCCATACCTCTCACTTTCACAACACAACTGTTCAATGGCAAGGCTTCTGCCAAAATGGAACTCCTTCTCTCCTTCCTTCTCTCCTTCTTCTCTCCCTCTTTCTCTCCCTCCTTCCTTCTTTCTCTCCTTCCCTTCTTCTCTCCCTCCTTCCTTCCTTCTCTACCCTTCTTTCCTTCCTTCTCTCCCTCCTTTTCTTCCTTTCTTTCTTCCCTCCTTTCTCTCCTTCCTTTGTTCCTTCCTTCCTCCTTTCTGTGTATGCATATATGTGTATATATATGTGGTCTTGTGCGCGTGTTGTAATGTGTTTGTTTTGTTTCTTGGCTTTTAAAGTCCCTTCTGCTATGTTTTTCAGTGTTTTTATGAGTGATGGTCACTTGTTGGCCTGAGAGGTGTCTTGTGGCCAAATTTGGTGTCCATTCATCCAGTGGTTTTTGCGTTGTGTTAATCCCACAAACAACATTACATTTTTATTTATATAGATAAAAAACAGCTCTGTCCATTCTATTATTTTTACTTATCCTAATTTCATCCTATTGCATATAGTAATTATAACATATTTACGCATTATTAATCCACAATCTTTCTTGGTAGTTTGTATTTACCATTACTTTTACACATGAAGCTTTTCTGATAGGGCTATCGCTATGATATTTCATCTTGTTGATAGGAAGCTTCCTACCGGAGAGGAAATAATCTATCGGAAAGATGGCAATCTATTTATCCTCAGCAGACTGAAAGTCAAAATCAAGGTCACAACATCTGTTATGGAACTGCAATATGGTGATGACAACGTCATCTATGCACATTTAGAAGAAGCTCTACAAACCACAATAAACACCTTCACGGAAGCATACGAGAAGCTCGGCCTGTCATTTTGGGCTATATGGCCATGTTCTAGAGGCATTCTCTCCTTACGTCGAAACCAAGGTCATAACATCTGTTACAGAACCCCAATATGCTGATGATAACATCGTCTGTGCTCATTTAGAAGAAACTCTACAAACCACAATAAACACCTTTGCAGAAGCGTACGAGAAGCTCAGCCTGTCATTGAATCCCAAGAAAATCAAAGTGCTCTTCCAGTAGACACCATCCAATCCCTTTCAAATGCCATTGAGGTGTAACATTAGAAAATGTTGACTATTTCTGCTACATTGGCAGCCTCCCCTCCACAAAAGTCAACATTGACACTGAAATACAACACTGCCTGAGCTCTGCGAGTGCAGCATTCTTCCAAATGAAGCAGAGAGTGTTTGAGGATCGGGACATCCGTAGGGATACTAAGGTGCTTGTTTATAAAGCCACTGTCCTCCCAGCCTGTTAAACATGGACTGTCTACAGATGTCACACTCAACTCCTGGAACGATTCCGTCAGTGCTGTCTCTAAAAAATCCTGCAAGTCTCTTGGGAAGACAGATGGGCAAATGTCAGCATGCTGGAAGAAGCAAAGACCATCAGCTCTGAAGCAATGTTCCTACTTCACCAACTCCGCTGACTGAATACCACGTTGTCCAAATGCCTGATCACCGTCTCGCAAAGCAGTTCCTAACTCCCAACTCAAGAACGGAAAACAGCTTTAAGCCCATCTTTAAAGAGATTTAAAGATGGGCTTAAAGCTGACCTTAAAAACTGCAGCATAGACACAGTGAAATGGGAAGCCCTGTCACTTGAGTGCTCTAGCTGGAGGTCAGCTGTGACCAGCAGTGCTGCGGAATTCGAAGAGGCACAAATGGAGGGCAAAAGGGAGAAATGTGCCATGAGGAAGAAGGCATATCAAGCTAACCCTGACAGAGACCACCTTCTGTCTGGAATAATAATAATAATAATAATAATACTTTATTTATACCCCGCCACCATCTCCCCAAGGGGACTCGGGATGGCTTATATGAGGCCAAGCCCACCAATACAATATACACAATATAACAGAAAAACACAACAGAAAATAATTAAAAATAAACTAAAATACAAAACCAATGTACCGTATATATTTGAGTATAAGCCGACCCGAATATAAGCCGAGGCACCTAATTTTACCACAAAAAAACTGGGAAAATGGATTGATGCGAATATAAGCCGAGAGGGAAATGCAGCAGCTACTAGTAAATTTCAAAATAAAAATAGATACCAATAATATTATATTAATTTAGGCATCAGTAGGTTACATAAAACTGTAATTCAAGACTGTCCAACTCTGATTAAACTATTATTCTAACCTTCTTCAATGTAAATATGATTACATGTCCTCCAATAATAATAATAGAGTAAAATAATGGAATGTAATAATAACGATACAGTAAAATAATAAATGTAACAATAACAATAATAAGTAAAATAATAAATGTAATAATAATAACAACAACAAAGTAAAATAATAAATAACATTGACTCGAGTATAAGCCGGGGGAGACATTTTCAACATAAAAAAAGGACTGAAAAACTAGGCTTATACTCGAGTATATACAGTATATAAGCGACGCAACAATATAAAATCAAACATTACGACATTAAAATGGAAACCAATTTTCTCTCTGCAGGAGAGCGCTCTAACTGGAGGTCAGCTGTGACCAGCAGTGCTGCAGAATTCGAAGAGGCATGAATGGAGGGCGAATGGGGGAAACATGCCAAGAGGAAGATGCATCAAGTCAAACCTGACTGGGACCGCTTTCCACTTTGAAACCAATGTCCTAACCAGGGAAGAACATGCATATCCAGAATAGGTCTCCACAGCCACCTACGTATTCACTGGCAAGACACAGCACTCAAACAACAACAACAACAACAACAACCTTTATTTATAGCCCATCACCATCTCCCCGAGTAGGACTCGGGGCGGCTAACATGAGGACAAGCCCAAAGATACAATAGAGCAAAATAAAATACAAAATGCAAACAACAAAAATGACATCACAATAAAATACATACAGTAGCAAAATAGAGTAAACAAAGCAAAATAACATAATATAAAATCAAATACAATGGGCAAGGCTGCCAGGGTGGGGGCTTGCCTAATCTCACCAGGTAGTGAGTTCCAAAGTTGGAGGGCCACAGCAGAGACAATGAGGGATCGCCTACGTAAGTACTGCAATATGAATATACTTTGAGTCCACTTGATTTGCTATGAGAACTTGAGAGTTCTAGTTTGGTAAGGCATCAGTACTCTGGCAGAGAAGGCTGGAGACCTTGTGAAATTACAACTCCCAAGTTTTGATAGCATTTAACCAGCGGCACTGGTGTCAAAACTGCATCCTAACATTTGTTTTATTCATAACATTTGAAGAAGTATGGGCCTTTTCCAAGTTTGCAGGAGAGTGAGGCATTTGGGAAAGTCTAAGGAGGGTCTGTTCAAGGGGAAATTGGGCCAGAGTGAAGAGAGAGGGGGCCAGGGGACAGTTCCA